ACAACTTAATAAGCCCACTAACCCAACGCAAATGTCCACTCCACTCCAACCCAACAGCCACCTCCCCTGCCTCCTTGCACATATCAAGTCGCTGTTTTACTTGGATGCTATGGGGTACTTGATGTGCTCCAGAATTTCTTTTAGGGTCTGTTTGGTTAGAAGTAAAATATTTTCCTTGGGAAAATATTTTTCGTGGAAGTAATTTTTCATGAAAATCATTTCCCTTTCATCATTTTCAAGTGTTTGGTTAGCTTATTGAAAATATTTTTTTACTTCATTTTTCTGGTGTTTGTTTAACTTTTGAAATATTTTCACTTTTATCTCTATCTTTACTTTCTACACATTATAACTACATACTTCTTCCCATATAAAATAAGAAAATTTATCTCATTATTTAACTTTAAAAAATTTTGGAGAAATGTATATATGAATAAAAAATATCTCTTTAAACAATAAACAAATTGCTGGTCATTTAGTGTCAAATATCAATCACATGCAATGCTTATTGTAACATATATCTTACACTCTTATTGCTGGAAGTTTTTCTAGAAAAGAATGTCCCTATTATACATAATTAATTACTAGCATAGGATGAGCAGGGTGGAGTTTTTTTTTTATTTTGAATATACTAGGGGGAGGGTTGGGTTGGGTGGTACGGGGGAGGGAGTGTAAGGAAGAGGTCTTGGATTCGAGTCCTCCTGTTTACACTAAAAAAAAAAAAGAACATACTACAAGATGTTTTCAGCAAGTTTGAAACATACTACAGGCGGGATGCATGCATTTCGGAAAACAACTTCAGTAAGTTTGGAAGGGAAGTTGTTTTCCATAAGATGAGTGAAAATATTTTACATAGAAAAATGTTTTCAGTAACTTTTGTGCAACCAAACACGGAAAATTAGAAAAATATTTTTCTGAAAAACATTTTCACCCGAAACAAACGGACCCTTAATAGTACAACGTTTTCTCAAGCTATTATACACTTTAGGTTAAAAATCCAGGAAGCAATAAGGAATCACCAGCTTTTTCCTCAAAAAAAAAAAAGGGAATCACCAGCGTTTTCCTCAATTGATGAGCAACCGGGAAACTCTTTTTTTTTTTTTTTTTGGGGCCATCCTAGGAGGAAGTAAAAAATTGCAGCAATCGACTTATGGGGTCATAAGCACCAAAATAGTAGCCCGCTGAATATAGGTTCCATATTTCGAAACTTGATGTTCCTGTTTTTTCTTTTCTGTGGTTGAGTTTAGTGAATTAAAACTACTAGGTGATATAATAAATTCATATGAAAATCATTCTATGTTTATATGGCAAACTAGAGATTGATAAAAACTCGCACATTTATATTAATTTTTTTTAAAAAAAGAAAGTTTGCACCATTTATGTTTCAATAATTTCTTACGTGTGAAATTCCTTTTTCTCTTTTAACTAGTAAAGGCAAATGCATGCTACATATTTAGAGTTCAAATTTTAAATGAGGTTATAGGTTAGGGATAATTTCACAAACCTCCCTTGAGGTTATGACAATTTCACTTGGCTCCCCTCAAGTTTTACAAATTACACTAACCTCTCTTGTCACAATAATATGACTATAATGACCTTCACTTAATAAATAATTCATAGTATAATGAAATGAGATTTAAAAAAAAAGAAAAAGAAACTTAACCTTTTCGGCTATCCTGTTTACAAGTTACAGCTAACGACGATTCTCTCGCTTACTAGCATTCTGTTTTCATTCATCAACCCCTTCTTCCTATAATTCGCTCTCAAATTACCACCAACCATTACCTATAATTGCAGCCAATCACACCCTACTATATATTTCTATTTCTCTTTTCTTCTTTTTGAAATTGTCAAATCACAAGTTTATTTAAGAGATTGGTCAAATTAAAAGGAAATGAAGAGACACACAATAATAATGGAATAAATAATGCAATCATTGGTCAAAAGAGGGAGAGCGTTTAAAATTGATAAATTTGCTAATTTGTCTATCATCCATCCAAAAAATCTTTTAAGATGTCAATAAGTACATTTATATTTCTTTGGGTAAAATACCAAAAACCCCCCTGTGGTTTGCCAAATGTAAACTTTACCTTTCTATGGTTTGGAAATGTACAATTTAACTCCCTGTTATTTCAACTAAAGTGAAAGTCTGACAGAAAATATCTACAATAACGGTATTTGAGTGTCACGCACCCCTGCTGAGAGTTGTGGTTGCGATAATATTTTCACTTGCCAATGATACCCTATGTGTTTCCAAACCATAGGGAGGTAAAGTGTATATTTGGCAAATCACAAGGGGATTTTTGGTATTTTACCCATTCTCAAATGCACGAAACATTCTTCCGAGGAATTGACTTATAGAGAGGCAATTTTGACATTTTCCATTCAGACATTAGTTTAGATGTTTTCTGTCAGACTTTTACTTTAGTTGAAACGACAGAGAGTTAAATTGTAGGTTTTCAAACTATAGGGAGGTAAAATGTACATTTGGCAAACCACAGGGGGGTTTTTGGTATTTTACCCTGTTTCTTTTTATGCTTGACAATTGTTGGTTGTGTTTTCGTTATGAAGATAGAGTTTCTTCTCTGTATTTAAAACGTTAACATGTTTGGAGATATAATAGTAGGCTAAATTATTTTGTTTTGAGAAAGTGTGGGCATTAGGTTTGAAGTTTGGGGTGTAATTAATTGTCAATAGAATTTTGATTTTTGGCACAATGAATTTTTTGAAGATCTCTAAAGTCATAATGATGCCTTTCCTTTTTTTAAACTTGATTAATCCCATCCATACCTAAATCTTCCCTAAGGATTTTCTTCAAGACCACAATGTGGCTCATGTAGTAGGAGTTAAACTACTTATATGGAATCAAACCATGGCATCCTATATTAAAGATTATGCAAACATAAGAACAGTTAATTGTGAGTTTGACCGTTCCATGTAACCATATGGTGAGAATATTTTTGAAGAATGGAACGAATCTTCAAAATTGAATGCATGCTTTGGGAGAAGCAATTTTATAACTATGATGCTGGAATTACTTGAGTTTAGAATTTGGAATTAGACTATTTGTTAGGTTAGTTTGTTAGTACAGTGGGTTCGGTTGAAATATGAAAGAAAGGAATTGGCAAAATAATTTTTGTTTTATTTTTATACAAAAAGGGTAGTTTAGGATTTTTGAAAAAAAAAATATAGCCTTTTGACAGGTTATCAGCCTGTGCAATAATAAAGACCTGCTCAACTAAAGTTAATTTTTGTAAATAGTGGTAAGCATGATCGAATCTACAGGGACTGGGTGTAGCTGCTTCTTTTCAAATTCACAGTAATCAGGGGGTGTTTTTGTGTGGAAAGTGCCAATCAAATAAATTCAAATAAAAATAAATAGCTAACTACAAATTAAATGACAATTCACTAAAATCAGAGTGATAATAATTAAAGGTCTAGCCAAGAAATAACTTTAGCAATAGTTCACCTAATTGATCATCGATGCAAAAGCAATTCCAATTATTTACTAATAAATAGGTTATAACTGCCAAACAAACGATGACAGTCAACCCCTCCTTACTGTGTCGGTGATCAAGGTACGCCCGTTAATCACTGTTCTAATTGAAAAACAATTCTAGGTACACTCATAAGATTTAATTCTCCAATTGCCTTACGTATTAGAGGAGTCCTATTCTAACCAAATAACACACTACCAGGGTTATTTCAGATTAGCCCGCGTATCCCCCTGATACGAATCTAATCGTGCCAATTGTCACTATTTTAGGGCAATTAAGCAATTACGGATTTAATGTCCTAATTGACAATCGATTACCAAATTAACTAATTATCCGGATCCAAGACAATCAATTAATTAAATAATCATAAGCATTACAATCAAGGAATATGCGAATACCAATAAATAAAAGAAAAAAATAAAATTAAATCGATCTCACAATTTTAAGCGACCCAAAGCATCCGTCATTTCTTGACTAGAGTGGAGAAATTAGTTCATATTTAATGAACAAAACCCATATAAAATTGAAGAGAAAGCTGCGGCCATTGTCACTGATTTTTGAGAATTCAATCCGTTCCAATCAAAAAGAGATAGCAAAGTTAGAAGAAGTGATTCTCTGTTTCACTTGGGATGACATACGGAGAAGGAAAAGAAAGTACTAAGAGTGCAACTGAAGAAAAGTCAAAGCTTTCCTAATTGCCCAGACATGTGCAGGAGGGGTCCTACCAAGAAACATGAAAAGAAAACATCAAAAACTAAGCTAAAGCTATTGCCTTTCCTCTGCAATTTCTATTTCGTCTTTAGTAGCCTCTCTGCACCGTGCCGCCGGCCTCCTTGCGGAGAGGACCTCCTGTGTGGTGCTCCAGCTCTCCCAGAAAACCTGCGCCGTCCTTGCCTTTGTAGCAATTACCAACATGGGAATAAGTTTCCCTGTTCCAAAAATGCCCCTGGATTAAGCTTTATTATTTGGACTCTTTTTTTATTAAATTGGCACTTGTTATCATATTTTCGTTCTACTCCCTGAAATAAATGCAAAATACTAAAAGTGAGTAGAATCTAACAATTAATTCACATAGAGTCAGGTAATAGGGAAAATTAATTATAAAATAAATGATAAAATTACAACCTATCACCTTTTGGCCTATATTGTTACATAAATAGTAAAAGCAAGGGAGGTAGGTGTAATTTAATAAACTTGAGGGGAGATCTCTGCAATTGTCAAAAATTTCAAGGGAGGTTTTTGAAATTATCCCTATAGGCTATGCAAGCTTGAATTTATGCAACTTATTTTTTTTAAAAATACAGCTTTGGATTGACCTGATCCTATCATTTTTGGCATGAGTTTTGTATATTTGAATCCTTAAACTAATATTTCTTTAAATCTAGACTTGGAATTGCAAATTGTTAGATTGGTAAGTGTTGCTCTGCCTAGAATTCACCTACATAAATAAAGACAAGTGATAAATTCTCCTTCGGTATAAATATTATAGGTAGGTAGACACATCGATAGAAAAATTGGATATGGCAGAGATATCCACATGAAAGTCATCCATGGTGCTTGAACTACTTGTTCATTAATGAGTACACTTTTTTTTTCATTAGCACACCAAATGGCCGTATGTAGCAGCAATCTAAGTGCTTGGCCAAGTTTCCATTTTTGCAAAGCACGATCTTATTCTGTTTCCTACCAGATATCAAAGTTGTTTAGGTAGAAACATGGATAGAAAAATTGGATGATGGCAGAGTCGCAGAGATATCCACATGGAATTCATTTATGGTGCTTGAGCTACTCCTCCCATCTGCGCAGGTTTGGTCAGGCAGTGAAAGTACTGGTGGACTAACAAGCTGGTTCACAGCAATGGCGTGCAAAGGCCTAGTTGGTTCTCGCCTGCCCACTTCAAATCGGTTCACCACTTGCTGCATTGTTGGTCGACATTTCGGGTTTGTGTTGACGCAATCCAGGGCTAACGCTGTTGCAACAGCCACATTTCGAACGACCAAATGGTTAGTCGGAGGGGGCAGACGGGCATCAAGAAGATCCTTCAACATTATTGGTTCATTGGGTTGTGATGCTATGAACGAAAGGAATTCTCGTGGATGCTCTCCAAACAGCGTTTCCAGCACCACAACGCCAAAGCTATACATATCGGACTTTTCAGTGACCGCCATGGTATAGGCTAGCTCTGCATTGACAAGTAAGTATATATTTGGATACAGATAAAGTTAATCTCAACTGGGACAACTCTAGACTTACTATTCCAAAAATAATAATAATAATCGTTTCAGTTGGAAGAATTTTTTTTCTTTTCTGTTCTTGAAAGTTAAGCCTAAAATGTGCATCAAGAAAATATGAAAAACAAGGTGAAAAGCAGAAAGGGATCTGGGATAGCAAGGTAACCTACCTGGTGCCATGTAACCAAAGGTGCCTGCAGTGACCGTTTGATTTGATGAATCAAGTTCCAAAATCCTCGCAGTTCCAAAGTCAGAAAGAGTTGCTTCGAGCTGTGAATTCAAAAGAATGTTGTTGCTTGATACATCCCTGTGAATGATTGGCGGATCACAATCGTGATGCAAGTAGGACAATGCACCGGCAATGCCCTTGATCAAATTCACTCTTTTAATCCAATCCAGTTCCACAGCTTCAGTTTCATCTCTCAAGATACAAAACAAGCTTCCTCTGTCCATATACTCATAAATCAGAAACATGCATCGCTTGTGCAGGCAGAATCCGAAGAGCTTTACAATGTTCCTGTGCCTGATTTTAGATAGCATGTCGGCTTCATTCCTAAAGCTCTTGTCAAAATTTGGATTCTCGCCTTCCAAACGGTGAAGCTTTTTCAAAGCCACTACTTTCCCACTTGGCAACCGAGCTCTGTATACAGAGCCATAACCCCCTGTCCCGATGCAATAACAGACATCAAAATCGTTTGTTGCTTTAATTATGTCTTCATAAGCCATATGTCCATCATAGTTCCATATTCTGAAAATGTCTCCGTGTTTATTGTCCATCAGCTCAAGTTCCACTTTCTTGACTTTGGTTTTGCAGAAGATATAAAGCACTAATCCGCCAATTAATGAGAACACCAAGAAGGACACGCCAAGACCTATGATGTAGTATGGGGGGTGATGTCTGTGATCGCCACAAAGAGTGGAATCGTGATGCAAGTCTGGATTGCCGACAAAATTTTCTGAACCAAACTTAGTGACAAGCTCACACGGAAGTTCACCTTCCAAAGCATTATAGGAAAGATCTAGAAATGTTAGAGAAGGTATACCGGAAAGTTGAAGAGGTATGGAACCACTTATTTGGTTAGAAGAGAGGTTCAAAGTAACTAGAGTAGTCAGATTGCGAAGGGTCGGAGGGATTTGACCAGTCAGCCGGTTGGACCCAAGGACAAGATGTTCCAAAATTTTCAAATTTCCTATTTCAGAGGGAATGGAACCATGAATTTGATTCTCAGCACCTGAAAGAGATACTAGTTTGGTTAGGCGGCAAAGAGTTAAAGGGAGGGCTCCTGAAAGATTAAGGCCACTGAAGTCTAATTCAACTAAACTCTTCAAATTTCCTATTTCTTCTGAGAGAAATCCTCCCATTGCAGGATTGAAGTGAATGTCTAGCCGGGAAAGATTTGTCAAATTAAAAAGAGCTGAAGGAATTGTCCCACTGAAGTAGTTATTGCTGAGGTTAATGGAGGCCAGATTGGACAAGTGGCCAAGAGTTGGTGGGATGCGGCCCCAAAAGCAATTCTGGCTCAAATCTAGAGTAACCAAATCTGTCAAGTTTCCGATACCTGGAGGAATTAAACCTCCAATCCAGTTCCAAGAAACATCAAGTTGTGCTAGGTGTGTAAGGTTTACTAGAGAAGAAGGGAGCTGGCCATGAAGATCGTTTAAAGACAAATTGAGATAGGTGAGTTTGGAGAGTGCACCTGTTTGATATGGGATAGCTTCGTAAAAGTTATTTCCACTGAGATCTAGTCTAACCAGGTTCCGAAAAGAAGAGAAGCTGAAATTTGTCAAGCCATCCAGAATTCCGTAGTTTGGAAGTAGTATGTCGGTAACACTACCAGCATCGTTGCAAATGATACCACGCCACTGGCAGTGGGCAGAGACGTTTCTTGCAGCAGTATCGTCTCGCCACCAGCCACTCTTGAGCAGTGCTTCAGCTTCCAATAAATTCACAGCAGACTCCTTTGCTGCTGCTGCCGCTACTGGTGCAATAGCCAGTATCATGAGAAGAACAAATCCGCTGCATACAACATCCATCGATGCTAGTACCATGAAAGACCGTAATTAACACAAGATAGATGAAATGTAAGCGCCCGCCCTGATTATGTAGTCTGGACTGAAAAACTCGCATTTAAAATGGAGTCAAGCCAGTAGTATCTTTCCAATCTGCATCATTCACACGGATTGTTAAAAGCAATGTGATATGCGCATTTTAAAAATCCAAGAACTTTCGTTTTTGTTGTTTGAGACTAGCGAGAAAGGGAGCAAATTAGTAATGTTTCGGTCTTAAAAAGTACATTTCGCTGCCAGTAATTCAATACTCTTTTTTTTTTAATCTCTTTTGCCTTCTATGGGCAATCAAATTCGTGACATGTGAACGCTAAGACATATGAGTTTAAACTGTAATGATTCTTCGTTTGCATTTCTATAGATTTAGTCCAGACATACCTAACTAGGTCTATCTGGTCATAGGCATTTAACTCACTAACAAGCGCACAGTTAAATGTTTATTAGTGTAATTGATTAAAATGTGCAACACGAAATGCAGCATTTGATGTCATAAATGATATAGTAATAATAGGTATGATGTGTAGACCGACCAGCACAATCTTGATATTTTGTCAATAATTCTTTTTTGGACACCAATTTTGAAAAGTGAATTACACGGTTATTTGTTTCTCTTGTGCATAGCATAGGTCTACATATGATCATGATCTTATATGTGATTAGTTTTCCCCAAAATGAAAATTGTTTGGTCAAATTTTGAAAGCCAAAATCAATGTTACAATAATTAGTAACGCATAAGATATACTATTCAAGTTTTAAATGCATGATGTTGCCTTTTAATTTCGTTGCTCTCTCTTAAATTGATCATGACCTTGGACCTGCAGAGGATTAGAAATAGTAATCCACCAATTAATGAGTAAACCACAAAGATTACATGCTAAGACCCGTTACGTGCTTTTTGCTGTAATCAAGAGCAGATAGACTTTGTTGCTGCTTCCGTTGCTCGCGCAGTAGCTGGTATCGGGAGAAGAACAACCATGCTACGTACAACATCCATCGATGTTACTGTACAAGACCACATGATATATATATGAAAAGACTTGCATTTAAAGTCTTAGTCAAGGTCTTTCCAATCTATATATTGTGTGGAAGAATTGCAAAAATGTGTTCTTTCTGGTCTTGATTTGATTTCACTTTTGAGAGTAAAGATCTGTCTTCACTAGAATAGAAGTTGTTGTGCGACCTTTCTTACACGTTGGTCCTCAGACTTCAGAAACTTAAATCCGAGTCAATGACTCTATTTGCATTTGGGACAGAAATATTGCTTAGTAGAGTACAATCGCCTGATGGATAACTACAAACCGTGGCGATGCTACAAGCTTATGGCTACTACAAGCTTTACAAGCCATAAGATTCAAAACCTTATGGACGCTATGTATAAGCTTTACAATACATCAGGGCCTTGGTGCTACTAGAAACAGAAAACATCAAGGCCCAGGCCTGTACCAGGAGTGTATTAAAGTCGAGTCGAGCTCGAGTAGCACCACATTCGAGTTTGAACTCGATAGATATGTGTGCTACTCGGACTCGAGCTCGATCAAGTGAAAATACCATGGCTCGAACTTGACTCGTGAAAATACCAAGGAATTTTAGTTCGCTATCCCCACCATTCTACCCTTCTTTCTTGGGCCGGTTGTGAGCGAGAAGGGATTTGAACCTCAACACCATGGTTCGTAGCCATGTGTTTTATGGGTTTTTAGTAGTTTTCCTATTTAATAATTTGTGTTTTACTTGATAATTTCTTGACATAGTAATTTCTTATTTTATAAGTCTGATTGGTTATAAAATAGGACATTAGTTGAGGTATTTTTTAAAAGAGTATCTGTAGTGTTTTATTATGATATAACTTATCAATAACAGTGTGAATTATTTATCTTCTTTTCTCCCACATAAATATTTTGAGTAATTATTTTTCTCTTCAATTTTATAACCCTACACGTATTTACTATCATTAGAATCCTAAATTTGAATTCTATAGTGTCCTCTTTAGTTTTGTGGTAAATCTAATGCCAGATCTTATAAATGTGATTAACAGTAAAAGAACAAAGAATAAAGAGAAAGTATCAGAACTTTCTTTGGCATTGTTTGAGAGTCTCGTGACGAGGGTAGAAAATTTGGTGGCACGTATATGTTGTTTGATAGGAAAAAATGACATTACAAAAAGGCTTAAATATATCTTGCCCTTCCATAATTAGATATTGGTTTTAATTCGTCTTCCGTATCCACGAAATAGACATAAAATAATCCCGAAGTCCAATTCCTGTTTGGCATACAACAACTTCTATCTTTATCTGTTATGTTATGTAAAGACAATTACACCACTAAAATATTTTAGTTTTTGACAATTTTAGCATTTTGGCACCGATAGATAAATTAGTTTACTAAATCTACCTTCCCATTTGAGGGAAATTGTCATATCATGTGACCATTAAAATAAATAAGAAAGAAGGTAAAGAGAAAATATAAAAGGAACATAAAGATCGACAAAAAGAAAACTCTTCTATCAAAATGGTGGTCATAGATTGTGTGTAAGTAGGGCTGCAAACGAATCGAGCCGCTCGCGAGCGGCTCGAGTCAAGCTCGAGTCGAGCTCGAGATTAATCGAGCTCGAGTCGAGCTCGAGCCAGCTCGAGTCAACCTCGAGCTCGAACTCGAGCTCAGATTATTAAGCTCGTTAGCTCGCGAGCCGGCTCGCGAGCTTGAGTATATATATTTATATATATTTTTTATTTTTATTTAATAATAAAATTACGTATATTATATATAAATATATTTTAATTTTTTATTTTCATAGCGAAATTACGTATATATCCTTAATATTTTATTATTTATTCAGAAAAAAATATTATTTTTTTTATTTTTTTAAAAATAAAATAATTTTTTTTATTTTTTTCGAGCTCGAGCTCGAAAATTGCCAGCTCGTCGAGCTCGAGCTCGAGCTCGAGCTTGGTAAAATTTAGTCGAGACTCGGCTCGATTAGCTCAAAGCTCGACTCGGCTCGGCTCGTTTGCAGCCCTATGTGTAAGCAAGTTGTGAGATGTAACGACCGCAATTTTCCATTTGTGCAGATTTGTCACATACCTGACTTTTATTATCTTCTATCCCTCCAAACAAATTATTGTATCCAAATTTACTTTAATTCTCAATGCAAGCCCACCTTATTACTTAAGGTCACCTCTTTTCCCATTTATGGACCCACTCTTTTTCAACATCCAAATTACATTCCAGACCCTGCCAATCTTTGACTCCTTGGTCTAACCGACCGGACCTCCCGTCAAACCCATGATGCACCTGATCCACTGGACCCCCTGCCAAACCCATGGCGCACTTGGTCCAACACTAGCCAAACTCCTTAACACTTTGATACTTCGGTCCACCATCAAAAAGAGAATTTTTACCGGTCCAATTCTTAAAAGAATCTCTACGTAGGACAATGCATGGGCAATGCACTTGATCAAATTGACTCTTCTAATCCAATCCAGCACCATAGCTTCAGTTTCATCTCTCAAGATACCAAACAATCCAGCTCTATATTTTTTGGCGGTGTTGTTATTCCTCCTAACTAGAATAATTAACTAATGGAGTAGTATATTTTTGCTGATAATATTACATAGTAAATGTAGGCATATTAGTAAACTATCAAGATAACTACTCTTTTAAAAAGGAAATAGGCCTACAATTTGGAACAAATATTAAATGAAATTGAGTTTATCTTTGTATGAGACTATTTTTTTTAAACTTTTTTTTTTTGGTATGAGACTCTTGAATGATTCTCTGTCAGCTTATTGGTCAGATTTTTTTATATTTTGATGAATTACAATTGAAAATTATCTCACCATTATTGAAACTTTCCTCAATTACCTCGCCCAAATCACGCTCTTTAAAGATATTTCCCTATTATTTTTTACCATTCAAATCTTGTTTCTAACAATGAAGCATAGCCTAATTGGTAAGATACTTCACCTTTAATTGAGAGGTTACGAATTTAAATCAATCATGAAGGTAAGTGGGGAATCACTATTGATCGTCCAAAAAAAGAAAAAAAAACTTTTTCACCACTATTAAATGTGATCAAAATTTTAAAGTTTTCAATGTTATCAATTTTCTATTCATAACAACTCAAAACAATTTACGTACTTAAATTAAACTTTTTCTCCCCTTTTGTCAATTTTCTTTCGGACAGAGAGAATAATAATTTAAGTGCTTGGTCATGTTTCTATTCCTTTGATTAATTCCCATAGATATGCCCTCACCCAGTCCACTATCACCTCTGTCTTCATGCAAATTCCCTCAAATACGAGCTTGTTCCTTGCATGCCAGATCATCCAAAGTGTCATTACAAAACTCTGTATTTCTATTTTATCACCAGATTCAAAAATAATTCCCATGAGTTCCTTCATGCATGATGCTTTAATCTTTTGAAAGTCTATGGACAAGTCTGTGAGATCCCAAAATTGTCTTGCAAATTTGCAGTCAAAGAAAACATGACGATCATGTTCCTGCTGCTCTCCACAACAAGGGCATGACGAATTAAAAGCCCTGCATCTTTTTCTTCAAATTCACCGCTGTGGGTAAGATATTCATGATCAACCTCCATGCAAAACATTTAAGCTTCGGAGGAACATCCAACTTCCATAATGCTTTCCAATATTTCTTTTCATTCAACTTGGATGACGGTTCCATCTTTCCTTTCCAATGTTTCTATTTTCCAAAAACATGATATTATTGAGTTTCCTATCGGATGTCAAAGTTGTTCAGGTAGAAACGTGGAGAGAAAATTTGGACGATGCCTGTTGGGTTTCGTGGACTGTGGTCCATGTAAGTATTTGTCATGCCCACGAATAGACCCAATCGACAACTTCAGCGGTACAGCATGATATGTCTTTATGGGTCCTTGCCTTCCTTTCTAGTTGATTATGCCCAGTTCGTTCAAGAAGTAGTTATTTTCACTTTTGACGAAATTTATACAA